GTCTGCCATGGAGCTAGGGGGAGGGTGGGAAAGGGGAGTATACTGGGGATATTGGTGGTGGGGAATGTGCACTGGTGGAGGGTTGGGTGTTTGATCATTGTGTGATTGTAACCCAAACATAAAAGCTTGTAACTATCTCACAGTGATTCAGTAACTGTTTTTAAAAAAAGGATATGGTTTTTTTTGATTCAAGAAAAGAGAAATGCTAACTGCTGTCTTGGTACTGAAAGTAAATTAGATTACAGAAGGAAAAGAATGGTAGTGGGAGTGGGAAGGGGGAAACATCCAGCAGGATGATGCATGGATCAGGGTGTATAAGAACAGCAAGAGAAAGCCTTGGTCAGGAAGGGGAAATGGTAGGAGGATGATATAGCACCAAACCAGGGGATCTAATGTTCAACTGAAAGTTGTCTGGTTACTGTTTGGTAAAGTTCATCATCCTGTAGAATAGATTTTTCTGGGGGATAAGCCTTAGTAGTGCTGAGGGGACCATGAGTTGCCCAGGTGTCAAATCTGGACTTCTTGTATGCAAATAATGTTGCACTCAATTCTTTTGGGTCATCTCTCCTGTCCTGGAATGAAGAAATCAGAAAAGGGTTGAGTCACAAGTTCAGACACACTAAGTTGTGGACAAAGATGTTAGAGATCGAAGATCAATGTGACAATGTGACCACCTTGACGATGCACAGACACCCTTGGAAGGGCTAGGATGAGAGTTTGAGCTCCTGATGTATATAAAGGGGATAGTAACATACAGATGACATCAAAACACTCTTTTTAAAATGTGAGTCAAAGGCAAATCATATCCTCTGTTGACCTGGTTTTCAGCTAAAAAAAAAAAAGAACTACTGCACTATAAGAGTCTGATAATTATTTGTTGAATAAATCTATTTTCATTGAGCAATCTCTCCAGCCCCAGACAAATTTTTAAATCATTTTCTCAGCAAGAACTTATTTTTCTCTAATGTGTTTTTGGGGTGCCTCTTGTTTATCTCCAGTTCTTTATGTTTTCTTTTTATTTTGGCCAACTTAAAAGTCATCTTTATTTTCTTCTCTTCTCCAGAGTCCTCTCTTGCTGCACCCTTGAATTCCACAGCAGTGATTTCTATGGGTACTACTATTTCTCTCTCTCTCTTAGAGTGTTTTTGTATTTCTGGCTCTGTGGCTAGCCTAGCAATCCTGGTTCTCCCTTTTATGGTTAAGGATTCTTGGATGGTTTACATAAATATTCCCTTTTGCTCCATTATATTTACACACAGAGAGGGTGAGAGAGAGAAGGAGTGAAAACACAAGGGCATACTTGTCTGAAGTATTTTTAGGTGAAATCATATGATACAATATTGGCTATTTGTGCTAAGATAATAAAGAAAAAATTGGAAGAAAGACAGGAAGTGGGGGACTGGCTGCTGTATATGAAACCAACTATTTCACAGTGCTGAAACTCTGTGCTGGGGAGGTAGGAATTCCTCATGAGACTCAACTATCATGTATATTTGAAAATATAAGAAAAAAGCTTAACTTATCTCCACCACCAACACATTCTTTTGGGGGTAGACATAACCTCATTTCAGCATGCCCTTCATTGCAGAAAGGGATTTCTAAACTTCCTCCTGATACTGATTTGTCTGCAGGCTGGTTCCCCCTTTACATAAGAGGTCCTGGTAGGCAGGGACAGTATCTTCCTCAACTTCATGCTCTGGGGTCCCATGTAGAGTTGAATGAACTGAACTGAGCAAAGGAAAACTCTTTTCCAGTTTCCTGCCATGTACCTATAAACACTCCTCTTTCTTTTCTTTTTTCACATTTTTGTATTTTATTTCTTATTATATTTTTATACACTTTAATGTTGCACATGTGAGCATACATTTCTGGAAAGACAAATGTTACCTAATATCAAGGCGCAGTGAGTGATCAGAACCTTGACTTTCAGATTGTTTTAAACCATGAAAAATTTCAAGACATATGTAAAAGGAGTCATGACAGCAATATGGAGCTTTACCTTCTGCTTCTTTTTCAGGATCAATCTTGTTTCTCCTAAGATTCTTTAACCCTTTCCTCCTTCCTGTATTATTTTGAAACAAATCCTATATACTAACATGAAACACTCCTCTTTCAGTGTCATGGTTTTACTTGGCCCGTGAGCATTTCATGATGTGCACCTACCTGAGGGAGCCACACACAGGCATGCAGGGCTTACTCCTCAGAACAAGAGGAAATAGCCCCTTTGACTCGAAGGATGATTCAAACACCACAAAGTTCTCTTAGTGGACTATCCCTGTCTCCTCTGATAGGTTCTCAATATAACTCCAGGTTCGTTCAAATATGAAGTTCACATCAAACTTTTTTCTGTCATTAGGTGATTAAAGTTATTGTTTCCTCAACCGGAGTAGGTAGTGGTTTGGAGGCAGATGACCCACAACTTTTGGGCCCCCACGGTATTCCAAGGGTGTCATAAGTAAAAGTCATACCAGTGAGGGGGGCAAGAAATAAGACTGGAGCCATATAGTAGGGCAGGGCGTCCACAGGAAGAAAACAAGGTGGGAAGTGGGTCATGGTCAGAAAGAGGTTGAATAACACTGGTTGACATGACTACAATTATAGAACTAAATTATAGAACTAAATTAACGTCAGGGTCCTTCCTGCCCATTCCTTCCTCTGAGGAGCTTTCCTATATAATGTACCTTTCTTCTCTAGACAGAAATAATGAGAGGTGGCTGGCCTTCCTCTCTCCCTGGAAAGGTAAATCTAGCCAGACTTCCGTTTCAGCTCCCATTTCCACATCATTTTCCCATTTCCTCCCTGCTGGTACTCAATCCTCAGTTACCCCCTGAATTTCCTATCCTAGGCCTCATCAATAACATTTTTTGAGACTTTTCTTTTCTCCTGCTATAGTTCTGGCATATTCTACAACAGTCATTCAGTCATTTTCATTACTCTTTAAATGTTTATTGTTATTGTTTTGGGGCCATGCCCAGAGGTCCTCAGGGTTTACTCCTGGTTCTGCACTCAGGGATTACTCCTAGTGACACTTGGAGAAACCATATGGGGTGCCAGGGATTGGAGGGGTTGGCAACATGCAAGGCAAACAGCCTACCCACTGTCTTATCACTCTAGACCCTCATGACTCTTCATTATTTTTCTTCATCACTTTCTTATTTTTTAAAATTTTTTTAATAGTGAGACATCATGAGGTACAGTTGCAGACTTACACATTTTTGTGCTTGGGTTTCAATTATACAATGATCAAATACCCATCCCTCCACCAGTGCCCATTTCCCACCACCACAGATCCCAGTATCCCTCCCACTCCCATGCCCCCCAACCCACCCTGTCTCTGTGGCAGGGCATTCCCCTCTGTTCTCTCTCTCCTTTTGGGTGTTGTGGTTTGCAAAAGAAACATTGAGTGGCAATCATGTTTGGTCTATAGTCTATTTTCAGCATGCTTCTCCCATCCTGGGAGAATTCTCCCAACACCTTTATTTGGTGTTCCCCTCTTTATCTGAGCTCCCTTTTCCCCTAGTATGTGTGGTTCGCCTCCAAACCTCATGACTCTTTAAATGACCCTGAATCTCAGAGTTCATTTCACCTCTTTCCAGCAGGCTGCTGAGATGGGTGAGTATCACGTGTTACAGTACCCATCTAACAAAGATCAGGAAAGTTAAAAATTTTTAATATGGTTTAATTGGTCTAGTGAATGGGCTTGGGATATCTCAAAGGTAGAATACTTACTTTGCATGCTTGAGGCCCTGGGTTTGATCCCTAGCACTGCAAACAAAAACTAGCAAGAACCTCCAATCTCCTCATTTAGTTTATTGTTCCAGTTAGCACATACCATCTGGTTTATACTTGTTACTGTCTCTTGGGAAAGAATTGTCCAAATACAAACTTTGAATAAGTCAAAAGGGGGTGATAAGAACTGTCTTACTGTTTCACGGTGGCACTGACTGAAGGCTCAGGGTTATCTTTAACAATATTCTTACTCCCTAAAGAGTCAAAAATGTAAGGGAGAGGTGGAATGCATTGTACCCACTGGATCTCAATTAGGTATCTTTAGGTTTTCAAGAGTTCAGAGCTACCAGGTTATGTTTTCCACTTGTAAAACTATAGCATGCTGGGCCCTTTCTTGGTGAGGGGTAGTTCTGATAGTTGGACAGCACTATTAATCTCAGAGTGGGAAAACTACAAGAGCTAGCCTCTCAGTAAAAAGAAAATGCTGGGGAAAAAAGAAATATTGGCCACTCCCCATCGTAAAGGTGCCCTTGGCTACTACCACGTGAATATATAAAGTGTGCGCATGCATGGGGCATGTGAGTAGGAGGGGGTTGGCAGGAAAACTAGAGATTTAGCTATGCCAAAGCTTACCCTTTATTTTCTACATCCCACTAAAAACATCCATACCCCAGTGACAATGGTCTCTAGCACCATCACCCTCTCAATTCTAGAATATACTCTGGGAAACCCTGAGCAGGACTTCCACCAACATTTGTTACTGTCTCTTGGGGAAGAATTGTCCACCTGTGAACTTTGAATGAGTCAAAAGGGGGGTGATAAGAACTGTCTTTTTGATTCATGGTGGCACCAAAGCATACATATTTGGTTGCTTTCCTGAAGAGAATGTGATGAATCTAATTTTTGTTTTGTTTTTCCAAAACCCATCAAATCTTCAGAACAAACTGTGTTTACATGGAAAACTGGAAAGGACATTTTACCTAAGTGAAACTTGACTATCTTAAGACAAACACACAAGGAAGAATAACTCCTCATGTTTGTATAGAATGTTGGCACTTGTACATCTGTAAATCTTAGAATACTTTTGACTAATTTTTGTCCTCAAAAAGAATGCAATGCAAGTGGAACCACACAGAGTTGATATCAAGAAGAGAGCTTTCTGGGATGCAGGACAGAGTCAAACATTCTGGATTCTTCAATTATGTCAAAAGAATTGCATTGCTAATATCAATGGTATCCTGACCTAGACAAAAGTGAGGTCCGAGAACATATTGGATTTACAATTTTGGATGCTTTTATTATCTAAAATGAAAAGAGAAGTTACAAAGGCTGCTTTATTTATCAAGTAAAGGCACTCAGCCTATGGAAAGTTTTGGTACTTTTCTGTTAATCTGTCAGATGTTAGAGGCAGTTGGCCAGACGGCTGTGTTTTACATCCCGGCTTAACATTTTCGAGGCTGCTGAATAATGTAGATTCTTTTCAGTGGAATGACCTTCTCCAGAGCAGGTCTGGGTTTTTGATGTGCCATGTGCACCATTGCTGGAAATTTATGACTGAGCTAAAGGTGAGAAGAAAAGAAAAAAAATAAGCACACTGGATTTGAGGTGTCATAAAGTATTAGAAGCATAGAAAACAATATCAGTAATTTCACAGTTTCATTTTCTTCTTTCATAATCTCTTTTTCTCACAATGCTTGCAGCTCTAGACCCATGGGTGTGTATATTGACCTGTGTAATTCCCCCATTAATTTGGCTCTTAACATTTTTTTAAGTATAGAATATATTATATTCATTACAATTATACGGCTATATTTATATATTTTGAAGAAAGGCTTTTGAAGGTAGGAATGGTGACTTATACTGTATTAGTTTTCTAGTTTTAGCCAATATTTTCACATTCATATGCATATATGAGTCACTATATTATAAGAAGGCTTGGCGAAGTCCTGAGGCAGGAAGAATCAGTTGTCTAAAGGTGAGAAATAAAGAGCCTCTGAAAGAAATTAGGGCAAGATGGGGTTATTTATTAGACTGAAGCATAAAACTGCTGTGTGTAAGTTAAAAATTGCCTACTATTGGCCATTTTATGTGGTTTAATCTAAATAGTCAGGTGAAGAGAGTCTGGGAATGACTCACTATTTCAGGTAATGAAAGTTCTCATTAGCCACCTCCACAGGAGACATCAATGAGGAAACAGACTCAGGTAGATGGAAGTTAACAACACATACTACGACTTTCTGACACTAAGGGGATTTTCATAGGACCCAGTGGACTATATGGAGTTTACATTAAGGACAGCTTAAAATGAAAGGACAGCCAACACTTCAAACACTTCATATGTAGTCTTCCTAGTAAGAAAATTTGGACCCAGTGAGCTTGAAAGTCTGTTCTAGTTTTTTTTTTTTTTTTTTTTAGTTAAATCGCCCTGAGATACAAAGCTACTAAACTGTACATGGTCTGTTTTCAGTCATACAGTGTTACAACACCTATCCTTCCACCAGTGTACATTCTCCACTAATGTCCCCAGTTTTCCAACAGCCAACTTCCTCCCTCCAACCCTCGCCCCCTGCCAGCCTGTCTCAATTGCAGGAACTTTCTTTCTTTCTTTCTTTCTTTCTTTCTTTCTTTCTTTCTTTCTTTCTTTCTCTCGCTCTCTTTCTTTCTTTCTTTTTTCTTTTTTTCTTTCTCCCTCTTAGTTTCCAATATTATAAGTAAGATCAAAAACACTGAAGGACACCTTCATAGTCATGAAGAAAAGGATAACTTAGGTCATTAGGAACTTAGCTTCTCACTACTGAACTTAGGTGCCCTTGTTTTGACACGGAAATAAAATAAAAGAGGGGATAAGCTGTTCTTGACCCCAAACATCACATTATTTATAGTTTGTTTGGGTGCTTCTAAGCCAGGAAAACATATGTGCCCTGTATCTCTTCTCAAATATCCCTGAGCTTGAAGCACACAGTATTCCCTTTCATGTGAAACCTGATTTCAGAAACACTTTCTTTCTGGTTTTAAGAAATTAAACACACTGGAAGAATATCTACTAAAATGTTAATACTGGTTATCTCTTAGTGACAGGATTATGGACAATTGCTATTCTTTTTCTTTACTTTGCTTATCAGTATTTTCTAATATTTTTCTTTTACAATGGGTAGGTACAAATTATATAATAATTAAACACAGAGTGGTTTCTGCTGTCATTCTAGCAGAATGAAGAAGACCAATTGAGCTATTATTCAGAAACATTGCTTTAGAATCTATAAAAAGAAACTGGGACTTTTGTTGTTGTTAAGTCAATTGTCATTGGCTACATGGCATGGATTTTATAGTATGATAAAGGCAGAGAGTTTTTTCTCTTTCTTTCTTTCTTTCTTTCTTTCTTTCTTTCTTTCTTTCTTTTTCTTTTAAAATTGGAACCAGTAGGAAATTTAAGCAGCTACTAATTTCTGTAGTTTACTTCCAGACTGAGTGTCTTTAGTGTCAACTGAAACAGATGGATTATTTCAGGCTAGCTCTGAGTCATGCTCAAGAGAGTTCAAGTGGGAAGTACAATTTCACAAGTTAATTAAAGTCAAATATAAGGTAAAGGGGCATGAGAAAGGAAATGAAGAAGTAACTGTGATACAACAGATATCCGGGCAATTAGCCAAGGGGAGATAGGGCAAGATGGCAAATTGAGGACTGGAGAGAGAAAGTCACTATATAGATTGTTGTTCAGGTGTGAGAGAAGTGATGGGTGGAGGTGGGAGAAGGAAGAGAAAAGGAAAACTGTGCTAGAAAATGCTGATTGCTTAATTTGCCATAAACTCATTATTTGATCATTGCCAATATTAGCTTTACAATTTAGGGAGCTCCTTTTCTGGGCATGAAACAAATGGTGGTAAAGCTACAAACACAAAATTTATTATTTTCACCATTTTGAGAGTTGTTTTGTGGCACTGAGCAAATTCATATTGCTGTTCAATGACCTTTACCATCTGGTCTCCAGAACTTTTTAATCATCTCAAAATGAAAATCTTTACACATTAAATACTAACTCTTCATTCTACCTTTCTTCTAGCATCTCACAATGAGTATTCTACCTCTGGTGTTGGTGTTTTGGTTCTGACTACTCCAAATAGCTAAAATAAGTGGACTCAGGCAATGTATGTTCTTTAGTCTTTTCTTCATTTAATTAGCCTAATGTTGCTAATGTTCAAGTACAAGTAGTGTGTATCAGTTTCTACTGTTACAAGGCTGGATTATATTTGATGGAATGTGCATATACTACATTTGTTTTATTCGCCCATAGGCTGATGGACAATCTGGATTCCTTCCATTTGATGTGAGAACAGCTCTATGAATACAGATGGACGCTGGTGTACAAATAACTGTTTGAGTCCCTGTTTTTCATTCTCTCGTGTAGATGCACAGAAGCAGAAATATAGGATCATATAGTAGTTCGATGTTTATTTTGAAGACTTGTCATATTGTTTGTAAGAGCACTCTCCCCAATAATACAAAAGGGTGGAGGGTTACATTTCTTTGGAAGAATACACCTGGCAATGCTCAGGGGCTACTCCAGCTCTGTGCTCAGGTATTACCCTCTGGGAGTGCTTGGGGGACCATATCTGGTGCAATGATTGAACCCTAGTCAGCCCACACAAGGCAAACACCTTAATTCTTATATTATTTCTCTGGCCTGGGGATTATTATTTATTTAGGGCTTACTCCTAGGATCAATCCTGTGGTGCTCAGGGGATCATATGGTGTGCCAGGGATTGTATGAGCCATGTACAAGGAAAATACCTTAATTCCTATGCTATCTCTCTGTATAAAACTCTGAATTATTTTAATAAAGGCATTTAACTCATGTCCTAAAACCGCTTCTCAATTGCATCTCAAGAGACAAGCACAGGTTAAAATGAATAGAAAAATAAGTTGGTGCCTGGGCTATCTTACCATTCTAACCTAGTCTAGAAAAGTTTAGGGGAGAAAAAAAGGAAATTAATAGAATTGAGAAGTGGAAAATTCTAACAAAAACAATGGCATTGGAGAAAGTGCCCTAGATTAGTAAACTACATACTTATAGTTGTAGGGGTGGGCAGTAGCAGATCACTGTTTTCATTTTTGTGCTATACCTGGCAGTGTTCAGAGGCACAAGGATAATGGTTCCTTCCCATCGTGTTAGAGGGACTGAATCTGGGGTTTCCACATGCAAAGCACGCACTCTAGCCTTTTGAGCTGTCTCCTGGGCTCCACCAGCCAACTATCGGCTAATGAACTAGTGGTTTAATGCAAGGGCCTGAGGACAGCATGTTGCTTGGGCCTTGCAGTGCAGAGATACCTGAGGTGCAGTGCTCACGTGGTGGTGCTCAAAGGAATGTTTTAAAGGAACTCTTGAAAACAGTAGAGTCAGTTTTTCTTTCTTACATGCCCACTTCCTCCAAAAACAACAACAACAACAACAACAACAACAACAACAACAACAAGAAAACAGCCTAACATGAAAGGGTTTAAGATTTGTGGGTAGAGTATGTATAGGTTTCCATTAGTATTGATAAAGCTGTAAATAAAATAGGGAGCCCGAAAATACTCTGATTCTTCATGAAGAGTCTCTATCTAGGGTGATAGAAAGGTTTGATTTTTAAGTCTGAGTCAGAAGTGAAAGTAGCTTTCAGAGCACAAACTACAACTAGCTGGGCTTTACAGTCTGGTCACTGTGGAAGAAGCTTTGGATTTTTCACCAATAGTCTGTAAAATGACTGTGTTTGTAAAATAAGACTGTTTCTTGTTTATTCATTAATTCAAGATAACCTAGGCTACCCCCACAATAGAAAGAATTCAGGGCCAATACATACACTACACACACACACACACACACACACACACACACACACACATATATATATATATATATATATATGAGGATTCTGCCTTATCACAGAAGGGCTAACACTCTGAACGTGAAAAACAGATCAATAGGAACTCCACTGTGAATTTACTTTCATCTTGGGGGACCTCAGAAGCTGTATCTTTAGTTTCAGGGGGAAAAAAGGCAAAGAACATAGGATAAAAGTCTTCATGATTGAAGCTCAGAAAGAAATTCTAGATGCAAGAAAATCAGCTGCATGTTTGTTTTAGAGCCTAAAGTGGGAGAGTATTAGCAGACTGACAGCCCTTCCATTCATCTTTCAAGGGTGTTAACTTCCAACTCCAATGTTGGCTTTCAGATTTCCACACCCCCTTAAGCAAAGTGCTTAAAACAAACATTCAGCTGGAGTCAATGAAATTCAAGGATACTCCTACAGTGATGCTAATCTGCAGAACCAGAGAACCCTTTTTAGATCTGCAGATGCTTTTGATCTTTTCCTCTCCCTCAAGATCCTGTTTCACAAACATCTCACTAAATTTGGCAGTGGTGACACATCTGGCAACTTAAAGTGTGGCCCCAGCTTTAACAAGGGTCCCATAAGCTACCCCTCCACCTTCATTTCCCCTCTTCCTGCACACACACACACGCGCACACACACACACACACACACACACAAACACACACACACCATAACCTAACCCTGTT